ACCGCCAGCACCCCTCATCCTTCCAGTTTAAGAAGCTTATGGACTCTATGGATATTGTTCTGGCTTCGGTCAATAACCAGATTATGAACAAGGTACACAGAGGCCAACTTGCTACTATCACCAATATTTGGTCAAGTATTTCAAAATAAATACTGCAAAATGAAATCTCCATTTTTAAAAAAATCTTTTCATCAGGTTCAACACATCACCGCAACACAATTGAAAAAGTAGTCTGCCAGAAATCATGTAGTCACATTTTCAAGTAAATCATCTTGTTGGGGGAGTTGCACCACAATCTAATTAACTGAAGTCATCATTACTGTTTATCATTACTATCACAGTCACTTTTGCACAGTTGCTGTATATAACTGTATTCTATGGTACAGTTGTGGTCTTGGTTGATATATTGATATTTTAGGGTAAATTATAAGCACATCCTACATTTGGTATCTTATAGCTTAAAAACTTCTAGATAAAAACTTCTAGCTCTATGTGACATGCTATGTTTTTCTATTTCACCTTTTTTCTTGTAGAAAGCATATACAGAAGCATGGGACAGGGATAAGATCAAGATCCATGTTATGCCTGACACTCCAGAAGTTCTTTTGTCCAAAGCGAACCAGATCAATACAAGTCAGGTAGGTTTTTTCAACAGGTTAGAAGTATCTTTTTTTTATTTAAAAAATATTAATATTTCATGTTGTAATGAAGAATTTAGCTTTTCATTTACAAAAGAAGTAAGTAAAATGTACTTTATTTTTTAAACAAATGGAAGATTTAAGTTTCTGTACTTGTTGACAGTAGCCTGGTGCATAAAGCTGTTATAGATGAGTTTAATTTCATACAAACTTGAGGCCTTAGTACAACCAATTTAAAGGTTAATTGAATTCACAGTTTTTTATTCCCGATAATTGGCTTGGTAAATTATAAGCCATTTTGAATATATACATACACATATTCTTTAAATCTGTGTGTGTGTGTATATCGATATGCAAAATGTCTTAGACTTTTGTGATGCAAAGATAGGTTTAAATATGTAAAGTTAGAGGTTTGTGAGATTAATGTTTCGAAATGTAAGGCCTACACGGTATTTGTATTTCATTTTAGAAAGCCTACAGAGCTGGCTTGGAGGAAATGAAGAAGAAAGGCCATGACCTCAAAGC